TTTTTTTTTTGTTTGTTTGTTTGTTTGGTTTTCCATGTCCAGTATTTCAAGTTTACTTGGTGTTCTGTATTCTAACATCCTGAAATCTCTGTCTGTTCTTTCTGTGGGCACTTAACCCTTCTGTCCTTCCAAGAATCTCACCTTCGGTCCCCAACATGATTATATGCCTCATGCAAAACATTCTTTCCCCAAGTAAAACTCTCATCTCTTTAGTATGACTGACTTGGACCAGGTGAGAGCAGAGAGTAAGCCGATGGAACTAATTCAGACTAAATTATACCCTCTCTGCAGCCATAAGCCTCTTAGATGTATTTGCATTTTTATAAAAGAAGCTTGCAATCCCAATGAATTTCTAATTGAGAGAATTTCTGGAAGTGCATTCCAAGTCCCATTCCGTTGGTCAGCTAGCCTTCCATTCCCAAAGCTTCCTATACCGTCCATGTTTCTCTATCCCTGCCATGACCAGCCTAGTCTAAATCAACATTCTCTCCTACTCTTCCCGCTTCCTTCCTTGAGCCCGAATAATGCAGACTGTGGCCAGAGTGATCTTATATAAATAACTTTTATGAAGAACTAACACAAGGGCATTAGATCTGCTCTTGATAGTCTGTCTAGGGGCTGGAAGGGTGGGGCCTCGGTCAACACCTCTCTAATGCTCTGACTTGAAGCAGCCATAGGTTTTCTGTAGAGCAGGAATCATACACCTAAATGCTTACAGGGGCCTGGCACGTGACATAACACATTTTATGACAAATTTGGAAGCTTGAGAGGCCACATAAACTGCAGTTTTTTGGTATTTTGCCTGTCATGAAATGTAGAGACTTTAACAAAAGCCATTTGGTCTCCAAGAAGAGAAGTGTTAAAGAAACCAGAAAGTGTAAGGCGTGTCTGGCGGCCTCACACAGATTCATCTCTCAGCAGTGCTGCAGTGTGGAGACCTTCAGAAGACGTCCTCAAGTTCTTATCCCTGGGAAATTCAATGACCACTTTGGGTTCAGAGCCGCCTG